TTACGCAAATGGGCCTGTAAATATGCTATTAGTTCTTGCGTCATAGATGCTTTATATTATTTTAAGAACCATATATATCAGTAAGTAGAGATTCGACGATCATAGGAAATAACATTGCAATGATTATAATTAATAATCATCATGTTAATAATCATATAGGATACCACCGAATGAACGACCCAGCGTATATTGTGTATGGGCTACAAGACCAAGCGGCTGGGACTTTCTTTGGCAATCATATTTAAATTCCAGTGTCACCTCAGACAAACTTGTAATTCTTAATGCATTGGGTTGTTCTCAAAATACCCATAATTTGCACAAGTACAATAATTATGATAATTCTACTTACTTTTTTGGATATTTCTGAGATAAATGCATGTATCTTTTTATTCAAAGGTTGTTATCTACAGCGATAACGGAAAATTCTGAAATACGATATAAAGACAGCATTGCGGTATTCGCTTCCGTTTATGAAAACTCTTTAAACGGCGTTAAGACTGTTATGAAGTTTATGGAAATGAAGTTCGATGATATTTATCAATAGTAGGTTATTTTAATATAATTTCTCTTTTCTATGACCTTTCTTGAATACATTATTAAATTATTAACTAATATAAATTATCTAAAAAATAAATTTCATTGTAGTTATAACGATGAGTCGGCAATCAAAAGTATTATGAGTGGACTCGCAGAAAGAATATCAACAAAACAGCTTTATGAACAGGTACAAATATTATTATCATTTAAGATAGAACTAGAAATATGTTAAATCAACGTATTTTTATTGCAGTATACAAATTTGACGGATTTGATCGTAATGAAAGTACCAACGTTAAAAAATTCTTTAAAATCATATAACGATATTATTCTTTATGAACTTGATTGGTATAAAAAGAATATTCCGCTGATATCATATTGTTTGGAGAAACTTTATCAAAACCACAATAACCGTTTACCAACAACACTTTATCCGATTAATTATAATCTCTCGATTGCCATACTAGATAAAAGAAACTTCACAGGATCGGTTAAAATAAATCTTCAAGTCGATAAACCAACCTTCCAAATAGTTCTCAATTCTCATAAGCTCAATGTTTCTAACGTTAAAGTTTATGAAACTCCTTATAGAACCTCTGACAAAGAAGTGAAATATTTTGACATCCTCGATATAATACAAATCGAGGAAAGTCAAAAGCTAATCATTTACTTAAAAACCAATATCGAGGTAGCAAGAGTAACCGTGGAAATGGATTTTATTGGCGAAATTAATACAGAAATGAAAGGCTTGTATTATGTTCAATACAAAGATTTTTACATAATCCAGTACGTATAAAGAAGATTATCAATTTATATACTTGAATATTTGATTATTAGATCTTTTGAATATTATAAGAAACATCTGAACTTCAATTTTATGGGTTTTTTTTTCTAGCGATTACTTTGCCACATACTTCCAACCAAATTATGCCAGAATGGTGTTTCCTTGCTTTGACGAGCCAGCCTTTAAGGCAAAGTTTAAAATCCATATTTTACGATCTTATAAGTTTAAAAGTTTAAGTAATATGCCTCTTGAAAGATCTTTGAATTTTAAGTAAGTTTTACAAATTAAATTTATCGGTAATTGATGATAAACGGATTAATTTAAAAGAAAATATTATTTTTAGTTTGTTAAATAAGTGGGATATTTACAAGGAAAGTCAAATCATGTCTACCTATCTATTGGCTTTCGTTGTTTCTGATTTTCTACCAATTAAAAACGAACAAGAAAAATTTAATGTTTGGGGTAGAAAAGATATCGTTCATTATGGTAATGAAGCACAGTATGCCGCTTATAAATTTTATAACAATCTTAATACACGTATAAAAGATATAAATGAATTAGAGAAATTAGATTTAGTAGGATTGCCAAACTTCCCTATAGGGGCAATGGAAAATTGGGGTCTTCTTACATTTAGGTAAATATTAATTAATTAAGTGTTAAAAGATATTTATCTAAAGCATACGCAATAATTGATCTCTTTTATCAGGGAATCTCAACTCTTCTACGATAGCAATACCATACCTTTATCGCAAAAATATTTTCTATTGACTACGATAGCACACGAAATTTCTCATAGATATTTTGGAAATTTGGTTACTTGCGAATGGTGGTCTTATACTTGGTTGAACGAAGGTTTTGCCCAATATTTTCAATGGTTGCTTCTAGAGGTATTATCTATTTTAAAATTATACGATGTTAATATAATTATTTAATTATATTTAATATTATTATATAACAAAACAGGCATTTGAAGAGAAAGATTTTATAAATTTATTTGTCATTAATGATATGCATGATGTCTTAGACATTGATCAAAACATATATTCTCATGCAATGAATTACCCTATTGTGACTCTTAATGATCTAACGAAACCATTCGATAAAATCTCATACAAAAAGGGTAAGTATTAAGATACAATAAATTTACCTATTGTCTTTAACACTTTTATTTAATTATTTATATTTTTATGCTACGACAGGCGCTAGCATTATTCGTATGCTTCATATGCTCCTTGGAGATAATGATTTTTATTACGCTCTTAAAAAATATCTCATGAATAATAAAGATAAAGTAGTTAATCCGAGTAAACTTTGGGAAGTGTTTCAACCATTTATGAAAAACAATATTACTTTAGAAACAACGATGAATAAATGGACCAATGAACGTGGATATCCTATCGTAACTGTATATTTAAATTCGTCATCAGGAGTACTTCATTTTTATCAGGTATAGAAAAAGCTAAAAAGTATTGACAGTTCGAAAAGATAGTATGTTTAATGAAAATCTTAAAAATTTTTTCATTTTACCTCACATATCATCGAAAAGTATTGTCGTAGAATCACTTTCATCATTATACTGATGAAGGATCTTCCTACTTTCACATTCCCATCAGCATGGCTACCGAGCTCAATCCAAATTTCGGAAATACATCGGCGAAATTTTGGTTGAAAAGTAAAGAAGACTCAATTCAGACCAAGTTAAGAGATCATTGGGTTGTAATAAATGTTCAGCAAAGTGGGTATTATCGGGTAATATATAATATTGAGTTAATGAACAGAATAATAGATGTTTTGTACAGTGAGGATTATAATTTGATCCACGTGATAAATCGTGCACAAATTATCGACGATGCCTTCCAACTGGCTCAAATGAACAAGATAAGTTTGTTCGTGCCTTTAAAAATAGCACTTTATTTGCGTAAAGAAACGGCATATTTACCTTGGAAGGCGTTCGTACGAGGCATTAATAATCTCTGGGAACGCATAAGACATTTTGAAAATAATGAACTTTTTAAGAAATATGTTTTGTATCTAACTAATGAGCATGTCGAAAGGCTTGGATTTAGTGATACTTTGGATGACTTATATACATCCAGGAAAGAAAATCAATTGAACAGAGAATTAATACTTTCGCTAAATTGCAAATTCGGAGGTAAGAATTGTATCAACCAATCGAAGAAGTTATTCGTAGACTTACAGCGACATAAAAAGTACGTATAACAATTTTCATATATTTTCTTAATATTTTTTCTTAATACTTTATGACGAGAAAATAAATAATAAATTAATATAACATGAATAACATGAAAATATATTTGCAGAATGTATCGAAATGCCAAACCTGCTATTCTTTGTACAGCCGTAAAATATGGTAATGATAATATTTGGATAGTTTTATGGTTAGCCTATAAAAATGCGGATCTACATGCGGAACAAATTCTATACTTAGATGCTTTAGGATGTTCGGAAAAGGATAATCTCATAGAGAAGTAAGTTCAATGTGATATTATTTTATTGATCAAATTAATAACAATACTATTATATTTTCGGCGACTTTATAATATCATTTTTATTTATACATAATAGTTACCTTGAATACATCTTTGACAAACAGCAATTAGGATACATACAAAAAGAAAATATTCGAAGAGCCTTTGCTTCCATATATAAATCTAGTGAGAAAGGATGGAAAAAATGTTACGAATATATAATCAATAATTATTTGGATATTTATAATGTGTAAGTAATCGATCGAACTTAAATTCGACTTCGTACAATTTGATATTTGTTCATTTTGTATTGTTGTAGATTGGGCGACTGGAACGAAGTTGCAGAAATTTTCATTGAAATTATAGATCGTATTCCAGATTTAAAAATAACTGAAAAGGTACATATATATATATATATATATATATATATATATATATATATACACATTTTCATCGTTTTTATTTTATTTTATCTTATTTTATTTACGTAGTAAATTTAAAACTTAATTTGAATTCTTTTATTTCAGTTTAAATTCTTTGTAGTAAACAACGAAAAAAGTCTTGCACCAATCTCATCCAAATTGCTTCAAGCTATAGAATATGCAAATTTAAGGATTATAGATAATAAGTACATAAAATATCGCTTACAAATATTATTGGCAGATATATTTGAGAAAATTGAAAACAATTCCAAATCTAGTTCAGGAACTCGAAGTTTAAACATTGTTTTTCTTACTATCATGTCTTTTATGTCACTTTTCTTACTTCAATAGAAATAATTTTATTTAATATCAAAAGTTCACTATATAAAATTTCGGACGAACGCCAATTAATGTTATAACAACTAAATTGAACTTTTCACAGCAATAACATGAAATATAACTTGTTGGCTATTTTTATACTTATATAAATCTATACGTACAAATTAAATACATGAATGTTTGTTGTTACTATTTGTTATTTATAAATCGACTTCCTTAAAAAAATATTTCTAATATAATAACAATAGAAAATTTATTTGTAATTCAAAGACAATACATTCTTTTCAAATAAACCCTCATCACTTTCTTTATCCAATGAATTTGTCCATAATATTATCTGTATATTCGATGAAATCTATCTGTATATTCGTGAAAATCAAGGTATCTGGAATTATATCGAAAGGATATATAAAAAGACGAAGGAAGAAATACTGTGGCTAATGATATACTATGTTTTTTCAACAATCATTCATTGCTTTACTATTTATTTCATATTATGTTTCACGATTATTCATAAATCATCAGCCTCTTTTATATCCACATTGACGTATATTCTAAATGTTATTTGTATAATACACATATTAATATCGCGCACATATTTACAGATACATATAAAAACGCTTACATATTATACTCTCTTGCGAACTTATTTAATTCGACAAATTTTCTTTTGAGTAGCATACGTTTAACTAGAGTAAGAGAGATGCGAATTGCGGAGATGTTTAGAATGTTCTACTGTTTCAAAGATTTAACAATGTATCTCGCAAATCCTCAATTTTAAACGAGATATCGAATGATGATCGATATATCATATTTTTAATAATAATTTGACCCAAGTTACGCTGTGTTTCTTTGCAACCAATCGCGTATCGTCGCGTAATTATTGTCTAACCATTTTATGTTTGCTTCAGCTTGCTCTACAGCCTGTTGAACGGTTCTGGTTGCACTGCCAAGTTCCTCTTTGTTCTCCGTTATGAAATCGATTAACTGTAGAAAAAATATAGAAATTATTTAGAGACGCAAAATAATACAAAAATAAACAATTGGAATTATGGAACTTACGTCTTTAAGTTCGTACTTCGTGTTGATGCCTCTAGTCGCTGACTTGACGATATTGTTTATCAAAACTAAAGAAGTACCGAAACTAAAAGAAAGATGGAAAGTCTTAATGTATAATCGTATCTACGATAAGAAAATTGTAAAGACGGACAATTCAAAAACATACTATTCTCTTAGACGGGCCCATTTATTTCTGAGATAATTGAAGGCTAGCGGATGACCTATAATGTTTCTAGCTACAGATCCAAAGACTCTCGTCGCGTCTTGCTTTCTAATGCCAGAATTCTCTGTAACCGCCCAATCCAAATATCTACTCAAGATCCAAACTTCTCGGCTACATCCAAGGGCCTGTAAGAGTAAGTCCTTCTCGGAACCCACATTGGTATTTAAATATCTTTGCCAAGCAAATTCCCATTCGACTTGACTACCCGCTCGTATAGCGGTACAATAGACCACACTCTTCAAATTTGGTGAAATTCTAAATTTAAGAATGATAATTTTATTTTCTTCGAGTAAAAGAAGAAAACAACAAGTTTATTACTTACGGATTATTTGTATCCGGATCGGGCATTTTACGCCAATTGTAGAATTGATTAACTGCATTATCAACGCAATCATCGTGGCCAAAACTACATGCCCAATTAAGAACGTCTATCCTCGTAAATACTGTTAGTTGCGGATCACCAGGCTTGTCCGTAAAGCCAACTTGCTTATATACATTATCCAAAAGCTTCAAAGTATAAATCTGAAGGAGTAATTTCACTTCGTTAAAGAGATTTATTCGGTGACGAGAAATCGAGAAACATTATTAAAATTGTATATCTCTTTACATACCCTGAACTTATCATAACCAGGTAACATTATCAACATATCGTCTAAATAATTCAATGCAGTCAGAGCAGCTTTCCAAGGCAAATACTCGCTTTCGTGTGCCAAATAAGAAGTAACGTCTAAAGCAATTGCATAATCGAGCTTACCTGCTCTGGCTAAATTAAGAGCATCATCGATCAACTGAGCTCTATTAATTGTCGATATATCTCTAAAATTATCCTTATTCAATTGTTTTATTATCAATTGCCAGTTCGTCCTATCGTAATTAACTCGATAGTAACCTGTAAAATTTATTTATCCTATTTATCATTTAAGTTCTACCGGTATTGTGAATTAAGTTAAAGAAAGATATAAAATTACCAGTTTCCAAGACGTTGAAAATCATCCATTGATGTGCACTGGTATTTAAATTTGGCAAAATGATCGAACGTTCTGCTTTCATCCAATGATTGGGCTGAGTTCGGTTGAAATTTAATTCCTTTTCGTTCGTGTATGTAATAGGAATCCACCAGAGTGGTTCAGGTTCCATCATAGTAATCATAGTACTATTTTGTAGCATGAAGCGTTCCTAAAGATTATATCAAAGTTACTATAAATATTCATGATTTCACAAAGATAAATAAACCAACCTGGGTGAGAGTAGCATCACCATTTAGATAATTTCGCGTTACGGTAACAACAGGGAAACCAGTTTGAAGGGTCCACGTATCCATAATTTGTTGGATCGTAATAGAAGGATCCAAAACTTTATCTTTATGAGCTTGTTTCGTAAGCGCATTCCACAAATCGTTTTGCTCGGCACTTTGATAAGCTCTAAGTATTATCGATAAGAGTTTTTTTTTTAGCTATTCTTTCTATTTCAAATAACTTTAAGAAGATATTCACTTACTTTTCGGTTAAATAATTTGTAAGTCCTCGTTTGAAAACATCTGTCGTAAGAAAATGGTCCATCATCCTTAGGATAGAAGCACCTGTAAACGTGACGATTAATATAATCACTTTTGAAATTTTCAAATAATGTATTTCAATCGTCGAGCACCTTTCTCGTAGGAAATTCTATCAAAAATTTCACTGATCTCATCCGGATGCCCAACTTCTATCGATATAGGATGAGAAGATTGTAAAGCATCTAATCCAAAGACGGATTGCAAATCGTTAACCACAAATTGTTCTAAAACCTTCCACGTTGGTTCTACCTGAAAAATCGTAACGAAATCTTTCATAAAAACGAAATAAATAAAAAAAAAAAGGTCTTCATTTTGAAAACTCACCGCATTCATTCCGATGTATTCGACGTAACTGGCAAAGCCTTCGTTTAGCCAAAGATCCGACCACCAACTTGGTGTAACCAAATTTCCAAACCATTGATGGGCTAACTCGTGAGCCACCACTGTTGCTACTCTTTGCAAATTGCTACTTGTTGACACTCGCTCTTGATATAACATCGCCGTTTCTCTGTAACCATATTTAACAGATCATCATCCATATTATGAAGATTCTCCAATTAAAGAGAAACTATTAAAAAGATTCTCGAATTACCAATAGCTCGGAAAAAACTTCCACGTTGGTTACCTGTAAGTGATCAATCCCCAATTCTCCATAGCTCCGGCTGAAAAATCAGGTAACGCAACCATATCCATTTTTGGAAGAGGAAACTTTATCTTGAAGTAATCCTCATAATATTCAAGTATTTTCGGGCCGATATCCAAACTGTAATGAGATTGGTTAATGGCCTCCTTGCGCGCCCAGACACTAAAGTTTCGAGACTCCGATTTTAACATTTCAAAGTCGGAAACTATAAAAGCTACCAAATAAGTAGACATTGGTACGGATTGCTCGTAATGATCCCACTCGTACGTAGGAAGACCAGGCCTAATGATAACAATAGTAAATAATTAAATGATTTTCTTACTTTTTATAAATTATCTAATAATTCGAGAATAACATCAAAATGAAAAAACTCACATTGGCTCGGGTTGTCCTTTCCTTGGCATATTTGAAATAGACGTCATGTTTCTGGGCCGACCTATGCTGATCTGGAATTTGGCTTTCATAGCTGGCTCGTCGAAACAGGGAAAGGCACGGCGAGCGTCCGTTGCTTGAAATTGTGTCGTGGCAATCCATCTATAATTCAAGGGTCATAAAACCTTCGGTAAATGTTCATCAGAAGAAAAAGATGTTCTTAACGTTTCACGATTAAACGCAATCTTCCTCTTCTTTCCTTCGGGCTAAAACTCTTTTAACGGAAACGAAACGATTTTCTTTCAAAATTTCTAAAGAGATGTATAGCACTATAGCAAACTCAAAAGTTGACTAATTTTTTACGAGATCATTTCGAGTAGAAATAAGGTCAATGAACCTGATATTTTCCTTTTCACTCGACTCCTTTACATACAACCGGAGAAAGTATGACATACATATACGCATACTATTTGCGATGTGAAACCGATGAAACTTTTGATCGAGAATTGCCTTTCGTAACTCGAATATTTCTTCGCATCCGTTTCGAATCATTAAATTTTTATCATTGCGACGAGTATTTATATTAGTAGAGTTAATCTTGGCAGATATTTAACGATCGTATAAATCGAATGGAATAATATTAACTCGATTTCTTGAGAGAGGATTATAGTAAGAAAAGCTTCTTATCAAGCAATTCATATCAACCTGCTCGATATATTACATATATACTACTTTAAATATCGAAGATTAATCGAATCGATCGCCTTTAAGTGGCCGAGAAAGGAAAAGGAAGAAAGGTAAAACTCGTTCACGATAGAAATGAACGAAAGGAATTAGTATAAGTTACCTCGTTTGATTGCCGACGGTATAGGAGCTTCTGTAGAAACCTTGAAGGTAGTCGTTCAGCTGGCCAACGAACTTGAGATGCACCACGTATTGCTTACCCTCCTTCAACGTGTCCGACGTTTTAATCACATGAAATTGCCTTTCGGTGTCGTTCTTTTGCTCGACAATTGTGATCGGCTTTGTTCTATTATTGGACAGAGAGAATTCTCGTATACTTGTAAGGGACTCGTCGATCTTCATGTCGGTCGCATGAAGGGTTACATTTTTCGTATTTTCCGTTACGTTCACTACGATAGTCACCTGAAAATATACAACTGTTTTATTTTCCGAATTTAATACTATCGAAAGTTCACATAAATTTGTAATAATCGACAATATTATTCCCTTAAAAATTCATTAAATATGATTAAAAAAGTCAAACATAATCTGTTATAAAATAATATAATTGTTAATGACAAAAGAATAATTTTTTTTATTGAACTTGTCACGTTTAATGAAATACTATGAATTACATGAGAATATTTCACAACGATCTTAAAATAAAAGATTTTTTACTTTGAACGGTCTCACGATAATATGTAAGTTAATAGGATCACTTTCTTCCTCTTTCTTACTTTCTTTCTCTTTTTCTCTTTCTCGTTATTTTTAAAATCATCGATTTAATATTAAAATCATTGATCAAATATTATCGAAAAAGATCCAAGAAAATCTCCAAACAAAATCAGCCTTTCTAACGGTCAATGACACTTTTCTTTTCTCATTGTTAACTGGCACTGTTGGATGAGAAATGAACCGGCATTCCTTACTTTCTAATTGTGATCGGCCAGCCGATAGTTTCGAATAGATACTTTCACCATTGGTCCTTGAAGTTATCGTACATTACGCGTTTTCGTCTTCGCTACTATTGCAATTACTTTTACAGCCTAGAGAAAGAGAGAGAGAGAAAGAGAGAGAGAAAGAGAGAGAGAGAGAGAAGGTGAAATGAGAGATGAGAATAACGAAATGATGAAAAGGGAGGAAACGCTCGAAGCCGAATGGCAGAACAAAAATTCAATTGCCTGTTGAAATTGAATTTGCGAATCGAGGGATATATATCCATCCATCCATCCATCCATCCATCCATCTATCTATCTATCTATCTATCTATTCATCTATCTATGGATTTGGCTTCGTTCGTGACAAAGTAAAAATATGACGTCTCCGTGCAACACATCGTAAAACGTTCGAACTTATAAAAATGATCAGTCAAAAAGCTCCATGGATTCTACGTGGAGAAATTCTTTGAAGGTTCTAACACGTTCGACATCGATTTATAATCTCGATGGAGAAAAAGCAGATATGTAATAGTCTATATTTACATCGTCGTCAGTCAAAAAGGAAAAGAAACATGAGGCCTTTCTAACGTTTTCTCTCTTAGCTATGTATTAGGTAATCATCCGGTTCGTCTTTCCTTTTGATATGTAAATTTATTCGAGTATCAACGTTATACGTACCTCACCGTTGAAAGTGAAATTTCCCTCCCATATGAAGGGTACCAGTCGTAACTCGTAAGAATCCGGTACAATCGATTTCGGTAATCTGACGTCGATTTTCTTTTTGCTTGCCGAGTTATCAGAAAATGCCCTTCCAGATGGATAATCAAAATTATTTAGAGAAGTTTCGCACGATTTAATTTTTTCTTCAAGGCAGGGAGCATAATGATAAACCAACAGCCCGGTCACCACCAAAGAAATGAGAAAAAAGGCACCGAGAAGGAAAGCACCGCAACGAGAGATCGTGCAGCCTTTCGTTCGTCCGAATGTTGTTGTGTGTGCATCCATCATTGCCAAAACCTCATGAGACTGGGTCATATCATGTGTGGACCTATAAATGAGAAAGATGATTTATCATTTCTTCGTTAACTACAACCAAAGAAACTGTGCAACCATTTAAACACAGTAGTAATTAGGTTTTCTTTTTATATATCCGATTTATTTCGCACTGACAATGGGAAAGCTTCAGGAAAAAAAAAGAAACAACAATTTTACTTCGCAATCAATACGATCTAATGTATTTTTTTTTTTTTTTCATGAGAGCAAAAAATAACAATAGATTGGCACTCTTAAGGTTCGACTATAAAACTATGTTTTTTGGATCGTCATCTAAAACAGGTTAAGGTAAGCAATCATTATGAGTAATTTCACGTGCTACGGAGAACGTGTCAAGGATAAGGAATATAAGGAAAGGAGGATTTGTTCTTTGCCGTTTTCATTCGTCAGAGATTCACAGAACTGAAACGTGACTAATCAATAAATGTGTGTTAATCATTTAGCTGAAATGCAATTGACTTCTGGATTTATTTAACAACTTACGATCGTTTACGAAATTTTTATCGAAATAATAAAAATATATTATTGGTTCAATTATATTCTCGTCGGCGTTTATATAAACATTAGTTTATATATATACTAGCATACACGTGATATTTTACATCATGAGACAAAAGAAAAATGTAGTATCTTTCAATAAAATTTTCCACTCGACGACAAGGCCTTAAGGTTTTTTCAATAAAAGTATAAATCGTTTCCTCATCGAGTCCAAAGGATACGTTTAAACGATACGTTCTACAATTGTACAATCCAAAATGAAATTTTTTCAAAGCTTTTTTTTTCCGGTATGAATAGTAATGCGAAATCGTCGAGCGAAAAGTGTACGTTGGCCAGAGAATTTAACGTTAATCTCAACGTCCCTTCCGGGCAGATTTACACAACGTAATTAAATTACTGCAAGCGACCAAACAAAGATTGCATATTCGAGATAGGGAAAGAGAGAGAGAGAGAGAGAGAGAGAGAGAGAGAGAGAGAGAGGAAACGGTTGGATTGCTTTAAGCACTTCAACTCGTTGTCATGTTAATTCATGTTTTGAGTTTTGCAGGTTTTTCTACGCTAAAACATAGTTTCCTTTTTACTTTTTTTAACGGGACATTACAAAATTTTAATGACGTAAGATTGACGAAGATAAAACGTGTTGATTAATAACAATCGATGGAAGAAGCAGTAAATGACTTAAGCGGTATGAACAGAGATTAGATATTGTAAGCTCTAATATCGCCAGACTAATTAAAAAATTGCAGTTTAGTGCACACAATATTATTAAACTCCACGATAAGCATTTTATTTTCCAGGAGTACGTGTTAACGAAAAAAAGCCAACGATATAGCAAAAACAATGTTGATTCGTATGTCTTTATCTCTTGCAAAGAAAATGAGTTATTTTATAAATAGATACTATAGACGATGATGCGCATTCGTGTAGTAATTAGTGACATTTCAACGTTCTAGAAATTCTATACTAATATGTACTTTGTTTTTTCCTCTCTCTTCACAACATTCTCCTTTACCTCCTCCTTTCCTCTCTTCCTGCTTTTGTTTTTCTATCATCCTAGGACATTTCAAATTGCCGGTGATGTCAACAACAGAAAGTAAAATCGAAGATATACGTATTTCGACGAGGCAACACAGTGCAAATATAAATACACGAGAATAATTAAAATAATTCATTGACTGTTTATCGAACACAGTCAATCAATTATTATTTCACTTCGAAATGAATCACAATCTCCAAATTAGTCGGTACTTTGTCGAAACGAAATAAGTTAGTTAGTCTAGAACGATAAAGTCACTGGATTTTTCGTTCGATCCACTAAAGGATAGAAAATTTGATACAACGATTTCGTTGATTTTCGATCGTTTCGAAAAAGGAAACGAACACCGACATAAGAAGACTCACTTCCTTCCCACGAGAGGCTGGCACAAATTCGTTCCGTCCTAGGAGAATTCGTTTCAATGATCGAGAGAACGATAATCAGGATCAGACGCGAAAGACACCTCCGCTCGGCTCGATGCTCCGCGCGCAACTGCCAAGGACGGGAGCTGTAATCCGGCTTCATACTTCTTCCTCCTTCCTCTCCTTGCCATCCAAGTTTCCTGCTTGCCCATCGCGGTATCGCTTTCCGTTCCTAGCATCCTTCCACCTGCATACCATCTTCCGGATAACCGTAAGAAGCCCTACGATCGATTTCCTGCAGGATGCGATACTGCATACGATCTCATTCGATACTCTTTACTTCTGAGAATCTCTACATTTTCCTCGTACTTTCCATCAATTTGTACGAAGAAACCGTTCATTCTTTCTTTTTTTGAAAATATCTTTCATCGGGAATTTCGTATCGTTTCGATGATTTAATCAAAGCAAATATTTCAAAGGGATTACGCGGGAAATCATTGATCTGCATTTTCATCAAATATTCGACGATTGACTAAATAATATCGACAGCATCAAACACAATGAAGATATATGTTTGGCTTTGTATACAATGCTTCGACTAATTAGAGTCCTTTGATTCTGTTTTCCAATAATCACTGAAAAGACAAATTAATTGCATCTAAATTAATGCTATTTTACCTAGTCTATCTCGGAATTGTTATCCTCTTATAAATTTACCGAGACCGATGATGAAATTGTGAATAATAAATAAAATTATAATATCTTTTCTTATGATTCTATTAAAACTCTTCAACGCACAATGCATTTGCAAAGTTTTATGTGAAAAATTTTCTCGATTACAATTCTTGTTTGATTTTTATAATCAATGGATTATTTATTTAGATAATATCATTATTATTTTATTGTTACAATCTTATTATTTTAAGTGAATACAGGACTAATATATTAGCATTTATCCATCGAAGAGATTTTCCTACTGGTACAAAAATTATATATTTTCCAATATATACAATAAATTATTTGCCAAAAATCAAGTCATATATTATATGAACATTGTTTTGCTTCTATATCTTCTTATGGAATGATATTGACTTATAATTTTTATAATCTTTTTATAGAGAACATGCAAGAAAATTAGTCTAACTGATCTCTCAACAAATTGCATGTTCCGTTACTGTTACGGTATATGTATATATTAAGTTCTCATGCGAGCTATTTTGTAAAAATTGACGATTATACATTGCCTGATGTCAGTTATTTCTTCGATTATTGCGCGCAAATGATGCGACTTGAAGGGCATAGAATATTAAACCAAGCATAAAACGCCAATGCGATAAATCGAACGAAGGGACAATTTTTCCTTAATATACTTTTTTCTCCCCGTATTTTTCGCTGAAATCACGATTCTAGCGAGGGGTAGTGAGCACTCTTAAAGAGGATCTATCATTTTCGTGCGGAAATTGAAATCTTCATTTAATTATAGATAAATACATGCATCAATTTTATGTACGAAGAAAATGTTTTGATATTTTATTGTTTCATAATTCACTATTGTCATAGGTAATTTCGATTATTCATTGTGGTCTGATTATAAATGATTCATTATAAAAACGTTGTATATCTGGTGAACAAAAGCGTCTCGATATGAATGATGATTTTTTTCCTACTTTATGGAGAAAAACTACTATGAACGAAGAAATGAGTCACAGTATACACGTATAATTAACGATGCTTGTCATCCGCAAAAAATTATTTTGCGCGTTGACTCATTATTCCGACGATGGAATAGGATCGATACATTGTCCTGATCTTCGTTCCATCGTCACCCATTCGTATAATATATGTATATATCTATAAAAATACGTACTTATTCGCATATCTTATATCTTTATGTCCCCGATATAATTTTTATAATCATTGTAAATGAATTTAGTTGCATAGAAATGCGTAGCCAATGATTGATTTATGCTAATAAAAACATACATAAAAAGAATTCCTGTTGAATTTTCTTGCGTTCATTCTCTTCGTAGTTTTAATCGTAAGGATCCGTAAAAGTTTTTGTACTAGAAACGTTTCAAAAACCTCAAACATAACAACGTGTGCGAAAGCTTCGAGTTGAAAACTGTTTTTCTAATTCCTTTGATTTCGAAATTCTTTCAAATACAAAATTATATTCAACTTTTTGTAAAATATCTTTTCTAATTCTTAGATAATAATAGTGTTAGAAAGATAGATAATTTTTATTACGCGGTAAACAATATTGGTGATAAGATATGATAACATAATTGCAAAATTAATAATTAGTTCAAACTTGGAAAGCAAGTATATGTCGGAAGGCTACGATAATTTGATCGGAAGGATTAAAGAGTTTAGATGGAAGCGTGCGTTCGAATTAGTTGATAATCATTCTAAATTAGCCAATTGTTGCTGCGACGACTGGTGATATGCGACTCGTCATGCAGGAGAGCAACGTTATTGAATCTCGTAGGAATTTGTGACATGTCCAGAAGAGTAAAAGAGAAAGAAAGAGAAGATTGCGAGAGAAGAAACGAATTCGATTATGGTAATGACCGTGATTGCATTATCCAAGTTTTTTCTCTCGTTCTTTTTATCATCTAATGTCTACGATGTCTACGATGTCTACGATTATCCTTGATGCGTTCGAAGAACATCGAACGGGTACAGCGAAAGGATCGCTTTTATCGTTTCGATAGGTAAGCCGATAATCGAATTTCCTCGGGAAGCTCTCGAAATCTGGATAGGGGCGACTTGAAAATCCTCGTCGCGTGTAATCCGATACCGAAAGGAACGCGGACATTACGATCGGATCGAGTTCCATCATTGTGGTGTACCCTTACCGAACACGAAACACCACCATTCATTGTATCCGCCAATCGCTCGTGCGTAAGAGAAAGGAAACGAACGTAACTTATCGTATATATATATACGTCTATGTGTCGAGTAAACATTATTCTCTTTATAAAAAAAAAAGGATAAAACTTAAAATCTTATTTTCTTGAAATTTGCAAATGAGAGATAATTCTTCCGTAGTCGATTAGAAAAATTAAAATACGAAATGTCAATTATCTCCATAGGTATTATTTTGCCGCCAGACAAACGGTAAACTCAGCTTGTATCTGTTACCAGCTCGTATCATTATCCACTTGGCACACGCACGCTGACTTCCTCCTTGCGCCTCGTATATGCTCGTAAACTAAATCGTATAATTGGATGACGAATGAGTTACCTCTTGTGTCAACTTGTCCCTCGAACGAATAACTCGATCTTCTATACATGCCGACGAGTTCTAATCACTTTTAGGAATGAGCCCATTTCAGGAATCGAACAACTTCTATTTATTTTGCTCTATTTGCTTCTCGTCGAACAGTTTATTCATACGTATTTTAATAGAATACGATTATAACCTTCGCAGATAAGAGGTTGTATTTAGAACGGCTTCACATACCGTTAAATGAGAATTTTTTCATCTCTTCTTTCCCGATGATAAGCGAGATAAAATCTATGTAATACCGTTTCTACAGGGAGTGCGTGCAGTAACCGGTATAAAGTAATTAATGTATTCGCACGGTACTTTTAAGCCGAACGCGTTCAGCTTAACGAAACGTGAAATAATTTAGATTTGCTTCGATGCCAGCAACCTTCAAAATATTCATCCGTGTTTCACTGCGATTGCATTCGATTTAACCTATGAAGTCTTACTTCCTCAATTATTCTTGTTTCTTCGTTTTTCTCTAATCTTGCACTCAAGAATTTGCATAATATGCAAACCATCTTATCTACTTTAGTAAGTATAAATCTTTAATTTGAATAAACCTGAACGTACTGAGTTACATTTGACTTCAGCGCTCTATTGAATCATTGTTGATTTAACTAGACATTTTTCTTTTACTCTTAGATGACAAAACAGGAAAGAAATCAAATTGAATCTTTACTTTGTCGAATTGTTCCTTTTTCTTCCATTATTCAAAATGAATGTATTTTTCATATGTAATAATATTATTTGGAAAAGAATTACCTTCCTAGTTTGAAATTAATGTACAAAATGATGATTACATGTGATAAGGAGCTAAAAAAAGAAGACAATATCATAACTGATAAAGGTGTACGATTGTCAAACAAACATGTATAAGTATATACCAAAGGTCATACGTGACAGAGTATAAATCTAGAAATGATATTTTCCAAAATTTCGACGAACCAATCGAGAAACGTGACTCGTCGAGGAAAGCGCTACTTTCCTGTTGTTTCGGAAACATTGGAATGCAGTACTAAATTCGTTCACCAGAGTGCTCAAAAGCTCCGAAGCTTCGAAAGCTGTCTGAAAGAGTGTCTGCAGAACGATGTCGAGCTTTTAACCGTTCGCCTTTCGTCTTCTTCTTCTTTAATTTCAACTTCATTTTCTTATTTCTTACGTAACACAATCACACAAATCCAACGTGACATTTAAGACATCCAAACATAGTAAGTAAAATTCTCTATTTTTTTCATTTCCAAAAAATAAATAAGTATTCATCATAAAAACGTCTTAAATTTCCGGAGATAAAACAAAAATGACACTTCGCTTTCACATATGACTGCATTATCGTATCGCGAGAATTCGATAAAACGGCGCGATAATAATACGAAACAGAGACGTAATCGTATGAAAGGAAGGAAAAAGAAGGTTTCCGCATTTTATCGCGATGGTAGGAGCCAAAGCTTCCCGTACTCGCTATTTCTTAGAACTCTTTGCTATTCGATAGAAGCATTAAATGTTTTTCCTCAGTCGTGTTTCTTCGGCGCCAGGCAGTCGGCAAACCGGATAGCTCGGGACGAATAGTATACAGTACAGTTTGAGCTTCTTCGTACGGTATGTATTTACGTATCTCTCTCTGTGCGTGTGTGTATATTACGTACTAATACACTGAAAGGGAAGACGAAATCCATTTAAGCATATTGGATCACTGAGCTCTGCTTGGTGTTAGCGCGTCTGCAGGTGGTCCCCCCTTTTAAAAATCCAATATTCCTTCGATTTCCCGCTCTTCTCTTTTACTACTATTACGGCGACGACGTAACGACAACGATCGTCCTCTCGTTAGCAACTGATTCATTCGCCTTCGATCGTTTGTCTGATGAGCAAGAACTCGTTTCAAAACTTCGTTCGTACCTCTTCCATTTCAAACAGAATAATTTACTCAGACTTTTCGATTCGCTGTTTAAAGTTTTAAACTGCAGAAATATTCAATCTCGTCGATTCACATCGACGATAACTTTCAGAAGAGAAACTATTATCGTTGATGCGGAACGTTTTTCTTGCGGCGTTCGTAATTATCGAGTAAACGTTCTAATGGCTTTCAAGAGACAGAGACAAAGAAAATAGAAATAAAGAGAGAGAGAGAGAGAGAGAGAGAGAGAGTGATAAAAACAGAAAGAGAGGAAGAGAGAAAGAGAAAGGCAAACAGAAAAGATCCTTCGTAAATTCAGTTAATGGGATTGATCTACTTTTCCTCTTCTACCTCAAGGTACGAGCCGCGATTAAAAGCATCTTCCCAACCCTTCGATTTCGATCGTTTTAATTTCAATGAACTTTTATTACATTGTAAACGTTCTCTCTTTTCTCTCAATACTAAGAATACTAACTGAAAGTGAACAAACGAGCAAGTTTCTTTTGAAGAAACGATCCTAGGTAATTTGAATAATTAATAGCGAGAGTCACTCGTTGAGAATCGAAATCCTTGAACGAGTAGGATTGGCCGAGCAACGGAGCAAATGGAATCGCATTGTTTACCGTTAAATGTCCTCTCGGCTCTCTTTTATCCTGGCAATTTCGAGCTCTCAGCACGAATGGACATATAACCGCTTAGTATCGTCGTACGGCGTCCATCTTCGAGCTTTTGCGAAGGTATATACTATATGTATATATATATATATATATATATATATATATATATACATATGTATATATATATATACATATGTATATATATATATATATATATATATATATATATATACATACGTATATATGTATATACCTTGCCAAGGATGTGATAATCACCTCGTTTACGAGAAGACTTTATGGAAGCAGAAAACCGTAACTTCGACGCTCTCCCGACATATTTTATATGAATATCGGACAACCGTTGCTCCTTAATGTCAACCTTCTACATTTTACGTTCATTGTCGATTTTTTCCTTTTTATCTCTCGTATTTTCGACGAAAATCCTGATGATTTCAAAAATTATTTATTCCTTGATATTTTCAGAACTGAAATACTCGGCATATACTTTCACTTTCATTTCACGAACTCGATCTATCTTGAAGCAAGTTTTTCTTTTCCTTTCTAATATCTAAATAAAATAACTTTCAAATATTTGTAACTTTATCATGTTTCCTTATAATTTACGATTCTTTTTTTTTTTTATATGCAGATTCTTTCTTTCGCGAAGATTCAAAAACAGTTCCAGTTAATCTCGAATTATCGAGCAATGACCGATATAGAGGCAGCATGCACTCACTCTCCATAACTATATCGAGCAACATAATCATTGAATACACTCGTGCACCTGCCGTCCCTCCCCGTCGAACGCAAGTTATCTGACAGCAATCATCTCGTCGTTTAGAACGTTTTATGCTGACGAAACTGACAGCAGGCACGTGTGTCATCAAGTTGAAAAGAGTCATCGTTTAAGAGCACAATTACTGATGTCTAATGTCAAGGTCGAATTTTGAAAGATGTTAATAATCAAAGAGAAGTCGACCGTTCGAGTTATTTAAGACGACTAGCGTTTTTGCGGTTCGTCTATCAAATCTCTCTGATCACGTATACGCATGTAGGTTCAAATATGATACATATGCATGAATACGCTCACATTGATAAACGAAATTATCATTGCCTAGTCAATTACTGAATGGAACAATAGAGAAATATGTATAACTACTAGCCAGTTCTTCGCAATATGGACAGAAAGAAAAGAACTGAGGAAGAAAGAGGTCAGCAAATGACTTGTATACGTCACATTTTCCACTTCTCTACAACATAAGTTCATTGACATTTAAAGCCAGTTTTGCTGCAGACTCTTGAGAAATATGTACATCAGTAAATGTACGTCCGCTCTTCCACGGAGTAACGGATCGGAGTAAACTTTGCTCGAGACTCGCTGTTACCATTGGAGTTACTACCGATATATTACGGTTATATATACTATGTTATATTATGGTTATATATACTATATGTATTACGATTATATATACGTTTGACAAGCATACCAAGTGCGTGAAAAATGTTGAATCGAGTGAATAAATGGAGATCGTATAGGAAAACTGGTTCGAACGTTTAGCCGACTCTTGGATAGTGAGCTGGATAAGAATCAAATTTATAATACTTATAAATGATAGTGTGACGTATTAATTAATTGCTAGTGTATTCAATGACTCAATCGAACACTTTTCTCAGAAGTGGGAATATTTTTAAAGTCAAACATTCAGATTCATTTTTCTTTATCACTGTTTTTTTTTGTTTTCTAGTTAAGAATCTTCGAAGTTAAAGCATCTCAAGTTATTTATTTAGATGACGTTATTAAAATGCATCGACGATAACAGCCAAATCATTTGTACAACGAAACGATCTATTCGAATTTACTGGCATTGTTTTATTTGGTATCATGAACTATTTTAAAATAAATCGAGGCCCGTCATTAAATGAGAATACTTTCTTTCCAAAGTATTACGACACAATGACAACGGACGTTGATCCCGCCTCTCTTTTTATCTTTTCCCTCATTGCCTTCTCTTTTTCGTATCTCGGTGAAAAAAACGCCGATAATCAGGTTTCTATAAAAACTTTTGTCGATTATCTAATTCGTTCAATGCCTCGTTCGAACGTTGCACATTTTCTCTTTAATCGTCGAACTGTGAAATAGAAAGGAATGTTTACACACCTCGCGAAGAGGCCTTTGTATTAATGCATGACATTGTTACGCTTGAGTTGACTCAATGTCCGCTACATTTTAATATACAAAAACAGCTGTTTTTAAAGACAGTATTGACTATACAGCTTTCGAAATCATATTCATAATCAACCTCCTACACGAATATAAATTTAATCTATTACCGCAAAAAATTAATTCTCGTCGCTTATTCGACTCTCATGTATATTTGTAATAAATTTATAAAAAAAGAAAAAATATATTAAAGAATAGATCATACTCAGTTTTATACTAACATGAATTATTTCTCTTTTTTTCAGAATTGAATGTTCTTAACATTCTTTTACCAAGGATTTGATTATCGTACTTTTTTACTATAATGACTACGTTTGTTTTATCGTTCCCAATATTTCGGTATGTATATGTATTGATAAATACATAATTATTATAGAAAATGTTATGGTTAAAAGTATGTTATCATTTATCATAAGTGGATATTTCTGATAAAATAATATAATAGTCTCATTAATTCGTATATGTCTTTTGTAGAATGGAAGTACTCACTAAATACGACGTAAAGTAATCTACTTTACGTATTGCAAGGACGGCGAGCTTTTCTGTATTAAAAAAAGAAAAAGATATCTTGACAGAGTCTTTAGTTCGTCAAGCCCGTCAGTTGTACGGTAACGGTAGAACAAGACGGTTTCGAAACGTTTCTCTAGAATCGATTCGCTTACTATCGATTATACTTTCAACGAGATGGCGAGTGTCGATAATGATTTGGAGGAGCTTATGGGGCATCTCGGAGAATTTGGGAGATATCAATTCTGGCAATTCTCTTTACACATCGTTGGAGCTTTGACTGCTGGTTTACATATGTTAACTTTATTGACTGTTGCTGCAGTACCTGCTCACAAATGCGTTATACCAGCCATCAAATCCACTCTCATAGATACATTAAACGATTCGTTGGTTGTAGCGAACATAAATAACACGATCATTATATCAGAGCCATTGGACACTTGTAATTATCTGGACGAATTTAACGTAACAAAGAAGTGCGAATTTTGGACATATGACACGGAATATTTCAAATCGTCACGTGGTATGGAGTGGAATTTTGTTTGTTCGCGTAGATGGATGGGTGCAATGGCACAGTCGGCATATATGTTCGGTGTGTTTGTTGGTGCTGTAACCTTGGGTAGTCTCGCCGATAAATACGGAAGGAAGATAATCTTCTACGTCTCCGCGGTATTGCAACTGATACTCGGTACCATGGTCGCTTTGGTCAACGAGTATTACACTTTCCTTCTCGTGAGATTCCTCTACGGTATCTTTGGCTCAGCTGGCTCTTATATAACCGGATTTGTACTGACGATGGAACTGGTGGGCGCCTCAAAGAGGACTATCTGCGGCATAATGTTCCAATTCGCTTTCGCAACTGGTTTTATGTTAGTCGCTGTTTGGGGTGCTCTGATTAAGGATCGAACCTGGTTACAAATAATTTACGGACTACACAGTGCACTAATGCTAGGACACTGGTGGCTCATGGACGAATCCCCAAGATGGTTATGGGCTCAAGGCCGAGCTAAGGAGGCCGTAGAAATCGTGAAGAGAGCCTTAAAGATGAACGGGAATAACGTGAACTTGAAGAGCGGAAAATTTCTTGCAACTTCGAAGATAAAGCATAACTCCGAAGAAGATAAAACTCATAACGGATTTGATTTATTGAAAACTCCAAATCTTCGAAAGAAAACCTTGAACGTATGCCTCAACTGGTTCGCCAATTCGATTGTTTATTACGGCTTATCTTTGAATTCTGGAAATCTTGTAGGCAATCCTTATTTAATGCTCTTCTTGAGCGGCCTTGTCGAGCTGCCATCGTATGTTATGCTAATATTTCTGATGGATCGTACTGGTAGAAGGTGTCTCGTCAGTACATTCATGTTAGTCGGCGGCCTTTGCTGTATATGTGCAGCTTTCGTCCCAAAGGAGGACAATATTGGAGCGACAGTGACAGCTGTTATAGTATTGTTCGGTAAGGCCTGTATCGCGGCATCCTTCGCAGTGATCTACAATTACACGGCCGAACTATTTCCCACGGTAGTGAGGAACACGGCCCTTGGTATTGGCTCCATGTGCGCTCGTCTCAGCGGTGCCCTAACGCCATTGATCATGCTCTTAGATTTTCTAGATCCGAAAGTACCAGCCACGTTGTTTGGTTTGGTAGCCTTGGCCTCTGGCTTCCTAGCTCTTTATTTACCAGAAACCGTAAATCAACCGATGCCAGAGACAATCGAGGACGGTGAGAACTTCGGTAAACACGACACGTGCTTCACCACCTGCCTTGGCGATAGAAAGCACCATTATGTCGACACTTACGAAGTCACTCTTGATCAAATGACCGATAAAGAGGAAAAAGACAAATTAAATGAAACTTAATGTTGAACTGCATTTATATAAATTCTATTCAACGCATTTAAGTTTTCTTATCATCGTTTCTTTTCTCACGAAAAATGAATCTTGCGATAAGGCATCATAAACTCGTCATGCCATTCTCATAAAATCATGTTAGCTTAAGAGTAATAATTCGAAACTTTGATCGGAATCATGTCGTATAAAGAAACACTTTCTCTCATTCATCTCATAACATCTTAATTGGAATTTAATGGACGTATATTGATTACTTTGTTTGATAAAATCATTTGGATTTTATATTACATCGTTCTACAATGCGTATATGATACGTGTGAATGAACGCGTATATAGCATGGTCTTTTTAAGATAATCAATGAGAATAACTAAAGTGCCTTTTATCTAATGACAATCCAAATTCGTTTTTATTACGATTATAATAACGTTGTAACCGTCCTTTTTCTTTTCATATAAATCAAATAAAATATGAACAAAAAAAGGAGGGGTTATCATTGAAATTATGTTCGACGATGCGACTTGCGAAAAACCGGTTTGGTTGGTTTTCGAATATTCAAATTGGGACCACTATTGTTGTTGTTTTCGCATAATTAATTTTTAGCGCAATTCTAATGACACATAGCGATCTATAAATATATCTGTACACATACATACATAATATATATACATATACATTTAATATATTTTTATTATCAATATATATGGGAGCATGTCAATTTCTCAAGATAGATTTTTAACAAATTATATATAATAACAATCAATCAAGATCGACTTTTAATAAATTACGAAGCATGCGAATAAAAATTGTAAAATAAAATTCTGTAAAATATATGTATGCGTATTAATTAATGATATATAAATTGTGATTAAGTATGAAAAATAAATTTAAAAATATATATATATATATATATATATATATATATATATTTGTACGTGCCTCGTACTGTATATTGATTTATTTAGGATTGCACTTCTACAAAATTACGCTGGCAGTGTTAAAGTTAAGGACAGAACGAGATAACGGAGCGAATAGAGCTTTAAAGCACTCCTATGACCTTAATCGCGCGAAATGCAATTCCAGGATGATCCCCTTATGAACTATCCTTTGACCAGCTGAAACTATCTCGCTCACGTCTTATCCGTATGTAGGAAGCTAATGGAAAAAGTTGATCGTTTTGTGGTAGTGACCCAACGTTTTTCCAATCATAAAGTTTGGAAAAACGTTGGATTACTACAGTAAACGCGGCTTGCCTCGCCGTTTTGATTTTTTTTTTATCCTTTCCTGCCTGTCTATCTGTCTTACTCTATCTCTTCCTTCTTTTTATTACAAATATAACCGAGAAATAAGTAATACAAAACATTTTATCGCAAAGATTTTTCGAGCGACACGATTGAAACGATTTTAACGCCGATTTATGTTACTAATAAATAAAACATTGTCTGAAACGGCAAACGTAATGCGTTTTATGCGAGCTCTGCACACGCTAAACATACTTTCCTCGCGATAGAGAATTTAGGTTATACCTTTCACTCGCGTTACGTACTACATCTATAGAGTTATTTTTATGGAATCATGTTTGATTGTTTTGTCGCGCCTTTATTAGTCTTAATGATATTGAGTTAAATTAATCGGTCGTCGATACGATGATTAATCTAAATCATTTCCAATCGAAAATGTTGAAATCGTACGGAAAGATAATTGTCGGGAACATTAAAATATGTTTTTTTTTTTTTTTTCTTTTGAAGAAGGATTGTCCATAATTAAAATATATAATAAAATATCTATAATTAAACTGATGATTCTAATAAGTAACTTACACACTAGCTATCCTCGGTGATTTGTTTTTTTCATTCAAAATCAACGATCCTTCGCGTTTCGTCGAGGTAAAACGTATCTTCTACATAATTATTCTATTCACGTACAAGTCCTGATAAAATGCGTGATGCACCGTGAATAATCTGACGACGTTAAACGTAAGAATGTATAGAATATATCTTGCACTGGCAGTCCTCTAAGTCAGTCACGTAAATATCGACTATATGTATTACTATTTGCAAACATCATTTGACGATATCGATCATTTGTTATTATTAATTATCGATATAATTGATAGTAATTAAAAAAATAATTGCAGTTGCCAATGTTTTCTCATATTTTTTTTTTCTTTTTACATTGTAAAATTTATACAAAATATTTTTCTCTTCGTTAATGAAAGTAAGCCAAAAGGATTGGAAATATTAAAAAAAGAAAAGAAAAAAGAAAAAAATAGAAAAGAAAAACATCCACGGTAAAAAAATATCTCTTTGTTATTTAAAATAGTCGTCGAAACAATAGAATAAATGCTCTCACCTGGAAGCTTCAATGCGCGTTTTGCTATACGCCGAGAATCCAGGAAAGTCTGTTCCAGGACACCCTGTAGCGGCTAACGCGCGTCGTCAACTGAAACTGTGCGTGAGTTTGCGTGCCGGTTAAAATGCTGAAAACATTGCACAAGGCGCGCGCAACTCTATCAAATATTCGAGCTCTTTGTGTCTCGAGGGACTATCGACCTTCCTGAATCATCCCTGTGTTACTCCATGATCTCTATTGCTTCTCTTCTGACTACTCTTTTCCCCGATAATTTTCAACGTTTCTTGATGTAAACGATAAAAAGGAGATCGGAATACCTTATGATTGGTTTTTATGCTTGAAACCGCCTTCCAATCGAGAGAACAATGGCTTTTAATTAAGAGAGACCTCTGATCGATTTGAGGACCATCATTCGACCATACTATCTCTTGATTACATATTCCTCATCAGCGTAAGATCGATATTAATCGTTGATTAATTACCGAGATAGGTACGTCCGCATTTTTGAAAACCTCTCGATCCTTCAATTTAAATCAACGAAACAATCTATCTTCTATTCGTCAACAAATTCAACCAGGATTTGACATAAAAAATAAATGATACCACGAGCATTCGGTTAAGTTACTATCGAATGATGAAACGTAAGTAACTATTGTGTCGCTGACTCTTTGGGTTATTGCGAAAAAGATAATTCAGCGGGAGAATACAGAAGGTAGAAAACAATGTTGAATCATTTTTATTCTTACACAGGAGTACGACGTTATCTTAACGTATGAGTAATTTCCGTTCTTCTTCTTCGTTGCAACGAATAATGTGACGAGTCTGATTCTCGTAAAAAGAAAAAGACAGATTTTCTTCGAATGATACGAAAGCAAATATATTTTGAAAATGGAAAGAAAAATTCCTTACAAAATATCTTGCTAGTTGAAATTTCGTTTTGTTCTATTATTCTATTAATATTAGTATCATTATTACTATTATTATTGTTATGATTACGATTATTATTATTATTATTATTATTATTATTATTATTATTATTATTATTATTATTATTATTATTATTATTATTATTATTATTATTATTATTATTATTATTATCATTATTATTATTTTTATAGAAGTAAGTAAAAATAGAAAAAATAAAAAACTTAGGCAGAATGGCCAAGAGACCAGGAAACTTTAAGAAAGAAGAAGCTTCGATACCCTCACGATGCTTGCGAGAATCATCGAGAGCTGGAGCTTTCTTAATACTTTGTGCGCCATTTCATTAGCAATCTCTCTGTAGTTCTACGCTGAGGGGAGAATAAAGCGACAAAGGATATGTGATTATAACGTAAAACCGATGGTCCTCGTTAATTCGCAAATTAATCTTCAGCATGGCAAATAACAATCAGGAAGAATCTTCCTTTCTAAGAAGATTTACTACAATTAAAAATATTTGTTATCCTCTATATTATTACAAGATGAATAAAAACAAGACAAGATCATTATCATCGTCGTTATTGTAAATTGTCATTATTTATATTTTTTTTAATCGTAAACTTTTTTCGAGACAACATTATTCTTTAATGTTGATACGAACTCATAGTATAAAAATGAGGATAAATAAATAAACATTGCTAAATAGGTGCGGTTAGACTAAACAGTATTTGTTTGCGAAACATTATATTACAGCTGCCGCGTATTATATTCTTCGAAAAAGCAAAATGATGATCTATAGCTGTGGAATGAATCGTAAATAGAAAATTGTATGTGATTATAAATAGTTCGAAATACAGGGCTCCGCTTTAGAATTAAATAATAAGATCAGTAAGATCCATAAGATCTATAAAATCCATAAGGTTCATAAGATTTCAAAAGAGAGAAAGAAAGAGATAGAAAAAAGATAAACAATGAAAACTCAATTCTTTTTATAATATAACATTGAACCCGCCATTGTGATTTATAAACATACTGCACTCCTGATTCCATTGATCAAGGAACAAATATCTGTAAATTTTTGATACAACGTCCTATTAAAGCATATTATTTAATCGAAAATCGAATATGTATCTAATTTATAATACACAGTATATGTGAGTAAATAAAGGTACTACGCATGGCATATATTGATCGTGTAACTCGCCCGGCCGAGTTTGCTTTTAATTATACGCTTCCAGTATCTCCGATGGAAGAAGCATCGATGCCGAAAAAAGCACATCATCTGGGGATAGCATGTCGTTTGAGATCGTTCCGCTTCGATTATGCGTAAGATGGAACTGGGAATTTGATGAAACGTATAATTATTTTAATAACGTCCCACTTTCATATATTAAAAATTGCTCTTTAAGTTGGTATCAAGAAGGAATTGAAATGATTAAAGAATAGAATATTTTCATAGTTTTCTTATTTTAATTATTTATGTATAAGAACATTATATGATGTAGAAATAAATATTTTTAAAATAGTATGTACTGACAGCTGGAAAATAATTATCGACCGTACATAGATTCAACAATAAAATATCATTTGAATTGATTATTTATTATTAGTTTTTAGGAAAAACGGAAGATGGAAGATCTAGCGAAGAAAATGTTTTTATCATCCGAGATTTAATTCTGAAATGAATGTGAATTATTAAGCAGTCGATATTATACCGTACGATAATCTTATAGAATAGAAGATAATACCATAAAATATTAAGTTTCTGCGAATCTATCAATGAAAATTATACTCATTAAGGGGGTTCCCTTTATATGCGTTTACAAGAGTTTATATCATGACTAATCTACCATTATTTATCAAGTTGTTAAGCCCGGAATATTCTATCATCGATCGGCAAAGTAGGAATTTACCAACTGATTGGTTAAACGGGATTTTACTTTACCGACTGATTTTCAATCGATATAATAGGAAGCTACTATTACAGATAGGACTTTTTATCAGTACAAAAAAAACAGGAATCTACTTTACCAACGATGTTACCAACTGATAAAACAGTGTTTTTCTATTCCTCATTCACTTCTAAAAATTTATAGATATATTTAAAAAATTTAACACTATTATGATTTTGCAACCATTTATAAAAATATAATTTTTTTAATTTAAAAAATCAGGTATTCGCATAAAGTCAGACATCTTAGTAGTAAGAAGATAGGCATCTGTATATAGGTACGAATTAAAGTAATATATGTGAATTGTTTCTATGAAGTTAGACATTGACCTTTTAACTCCAAATGATATTATATATATATATATATATATATATATATATATATTCGCCCTTGAAAAATGGATGCTGAAATACGTAGAGCGTATCGAACATCGTAAACGATCCGTACTTTAGCCGAGTTGTCAGCGATGCGTTTCATCCATAGAGAACACATTATTTTACCATAGCGAAAGGGTTAACGACGCTTTGAAGATGCGTTAATAAACCACATTCGCCAAGTTTGGCCGTTTATTTGGAA